GGGGGGGGTTGGCGGTTTTGGTTTGTCGCTCTGTTGCGTTTTTTAGTCTCTTCATAGATTTCTCCGTCTACGTTCTTCAGTCGTGCGGTCTTCCGTCTTGGACCTGAGTCCCTCAATGTTAGTCGTCCGTTCTCGTTCTCTGCCGAATCCAGTAATCTGTCCCCGCTCAGTCCAGTTCTACAACTCCCAATCGCTCAACACCCCTCGCTCCTCCTGGTCATCTTCTACTGAAAGTCAGCACTTGCCCAAACGGGGAACGACCTGGACCCGGGCGGACTCGGACTCACAAGTCCACTAGCAGCAACAACCACCACCTGTCCTCCAAACCTCACTTTCCTCTCACCGAGGGACTCGTAGCTCCCACTCCTTCCACTAGCCGCGCTCGCACTAGCGCTAATAGCACTCGTAGCACTCGGTTTCCTCCCCACTCCCACTCCGACGTACCCCACTCCCACTCCGACGTACCCCACCCCCGCCCCAGCCCCGAAAAGATCCTCCCCCCCAGCAGCCGAACTGCTCCTACTCAACCTCCGCCCCAGCCCTGCCAGTCCTAAGCCAAAGCTCGGCAAAAAGCTGCTCGAGCTACTCGGAGTGCCCAGAGCGGTGGACCTCCCACTCCTCCCGCTCCCACTAGCGCTCGTCAGGCTCGGACTGTCACTCGCTCCCCCACTCCCACTCCCGCTGACGCTCACCGGCGATCCGGAAGGCGAGCGTTTGAGGCTGCTGCGGCCTGGAGAGAAGCGGCGCGGGAGACGGGGAGGTTTGCTTGCGAGCCCGCGGGCGATTTGGGAGATGGTGGGAGGTAAAGGGGGAGGTTCGAGTGGTGGGAGAGGGAGGGCCGAGAGTGCGGATTCGTAGTCCTCCGGCTGGGTGCGTTAGCGTGCGTCAAATGGCAGAGGAAGGGAGAGGGGCGTACCTGAGCTGGAGGGGAACGACGGAATGCACTCAAAGTACGCTTTACGGAAGAGAACATCCTCCCTGCTCTTTGGGTTTCTTCTGGCTTGTCTTTTGATATGGAGAGTGAGAAGGAGCGACCGCCGATTGAGGAAGGGGCGGGGGAGGAACGGCCTGCTGCTGGAAAGGGGACTGAGGAAGAGGGAGAGGGTGAAGAGGGTTTTGAGAATGGGGAGGGGAAGCGTCTTGGTTGGGTGGTGGGTGGTAAACGGGGTGAATGGGTACGCCTTGTTGGAGTAGGAGTGGAAGTAGGAGTGGGGGTAGGAGAGGGAGAAGAAGGAGAAGGGAGAGTGTAGAATGACGTGGGAGATGACACTGTTTCGCGGGAATGACGTCGGTGTGAGAGGGGAGGCGTCGGTGGACGAAGTATCAGAGGCGACATATCGGAGGTGATAGGAGGTAGAGGAGTGTGAGGTGAGAGGTGAGAGGTGAAGAGAGTGAGGGAGAGGAGGGAGGGGAGTACGGCGAGGCGATGGTGGAGAGAAACAGAGTGTCTTTGGGGGTCACGCTCTGCCGAGGATGACGCGGGTGTAGCGTACACAAATCATCGGTGAGGAGAGACACCTGTGTGGCCAGACCGCGATTTATCCAGGGTGTAGTATATCACCCACCACACCAACTACTCACACTAACTAATCATAACCTACTTATTATTATTATCGACAACTGCCATGACCCTACCCACTCCTTCTACCAGGCACGACAACAACGTTCTCCCTCCTCACCCTATCAGCACGCGTTGGGGCGCTCCCAGTCCGCTGGGGAAGCCTCAAGCCGCGGCCATGCGGTCCATGCGGGGTAAGGTAAGCAATGCAAAGGGTCGACGTGGCCGCCGGCTCCGCAAGTCCGCAATCCCATGAGGTTGTGGGATTACATTTCCTGCTGTGGGGGGATTAATACTGAGCCTGCTACTGGCCGACGTTTATAATATTGGGAGGACCGAGCTTTAGCCAACCAACCATCACCCTTCCATATATCATATAGCACCCCGAGGTGCCCGACCAATCCCACACGTCGCATCTTCAATCATTCTGCCCGCTTCCTCATACACGCGGGAGGACGGCGAAGGCAAGTTTCAGGATGAAGCGGAGGCTGATTCAGGCATGGGTTCCGCCTGAGTTCAGGGTTGACGGAAGGCCCCGTTAACCAAAAGGGCAAAGTGATGAAGGCCTGGCTCAGGAAAGGTGAAATGCAGCTTGATCCAGGCAGACTGATAGTAGCCTTTTGTACACCTCAAGCAACAAATGGAATCAATAATTGTGTTATGAACAAGCTTTATATATGAGAGAATTAATAATATGTAACATAGCAATGATTTGATAGGCTCCTTTGCCTGCAGCTACCACTGTCATCAATCACCTTCATGCCTCACATGATACTGCTCACCCTGTTTGTTCCAATCTGGCTCACAATTGTCCTCCTTGTTCTCACTGAGCTTGTCTCCTTCCCCATGCCCATCTCCAATATCCATCATGCAGGAGAATCCATCTGTGGTTGTCTGTACTTGCCACTCATATACTTTGCAGGACTCTTCAAAGTATCCATCTTTGTCTTCTGCTTTGGGATATCCATCCCTCTCTGACTGCCAAACAGTACACACCCAGCTGGTATTGATTAGCACCCCATTGTCAGGGCACCAGCTCATTGCTTGGTCAAGAGACATGACTAAGCCTTTATGACAT